CTTTTTGTGGAAAGCTATCTGAATTCCCGAATTTCCTGTTATTCTGTTAGCAGTAGTCTTTCTGAGGAGTATGTTCTTCTCCCGCTTCCGTACCCCGTGAAAGTTCCAAATTCATCAGTTGGTAAACGCTTTGGATGTGTTTATATTTTGGCTGGAAGATTGTTATTAGCTTCTATTAATATTTCTACTGGCCCCACCTCCACCCATTCGGAAAACCCTCTTTGTTAGCCGACCTCTCCCGGCGCTATGCCCTTTTTTTCCATCCAAAAAAATCAGCTCCATTAGTGTAGGTAATTACGTCTGCTCAGTGGCGTACCCAGTATCTCCTTTCGGGGGGGGGGGGGGGGTAAAGATTTTTTTCTGATGAAGGTTCGTAGCGTTAGCCACGCACTCCGAAGAATTCATTGGTACGCTTTCCCAAAATTTTCGCGAGGCCCGGAGAGTAGAAAGCTTGGTTGACCCATGGGCGGTATTGAACTGGAGTCTGGTCACGGCCTCACACCACTGCCGCTCCCTCCTAGGGATAGGATTGGATAAGAAATTCCTTCAAACTTTGATCATTTTGAATTACCGCCAAAAATCTTAAACTCTGCCAAAAAATTATCAGTACAAAAGTTTTATGAGCTACTCTATGCAAATGTGAAATATTTGCACTGTTTCGATGTCTCTAGGAAAATACAAATTTTAATTTTACTTTGGGAACCGCCAAAATTTTTTGATTTGACGCTTTTTTGAAAGTCATAACTTTTCACAAAAACGCCAAAACATTTTTTGATTGTAAAGAGCAAGCCAAAAAACTCAAGTACGGACGATCTCGATTTTTCTGCATTGTTCCAGATTTTTGGTAACCTAACTCAAAACAATCGGAGGTACGTGGTTATCTTTTTTCCATTCGTATTTGTTTGAAGCAGAAGCTCGGCAAGACAATATTTGTGGGCAACCATAAATGAGCAAATCCGTTGAGATAGCGCAAAGTTACAAATTTCGCAAAATTACAATTTTGAAAATGAAACGGCAGAACTTTTGCAACCTACCTGATATTTATTGTCCCGCAAACAATGATTTTTTGAAAGCGTTTGCAAAGTTGTTGATTGCTTTTGTTACTTCGTCAGCATTTTGCAATTTCTTTTCGACCATAATGTAGCTGGTTAAATAGTAAACAAAACTGGGCAATTATATGAAGTTACCATCTCTGTGCGCATTTTTGCTCTCGTGAAGTATGCTTTAAACAATGCAAAATCTTTTGTACATCACTTCAGAGCTCTTAGGAGTTTAGGGAGACAATTTTCGCGTCTTATGAAAGAGCCATCTTCTTTTGACTTGTAGCGACATTTCAGAAACTTCTCCAAACTAAGCTCGGTACAGTAATGAAGCTTTATAAACACACTTATCTGACTGCTTGTGGTAGCAAGCAGAAAAACAAGAAACTATTTTAGTCTGCAAATCTTGGTGAGCGTTATTAGCCTTATTAATGCGGTCGCAATCCAATGCAGCCTCTGCGACTTTTTCACCACACTTATATAATTGCTTTTAGCAAACAAACAAAAATCGCACTTATATTTTCATTGAAAAAACAAATTGGGCTTCCTCAGTGTGAACTGGTTGATTATTTTACTTTTTGTTTTCCGAAATAGCCTGCCTTAGTCAAAATGTTACACAGCCCTTTTAGAAGAATAATATCCTGCAGATTTTTGTTTATCGATGCTGTAAGTAAATAACCACATCTACGCACGTGATATGATCTTAACTCTAAGGCTAATCCAAAACACTCGTTACTCTTTCGCAGTTCTCACAAAATTGAGCGATCGTGGTAATGTGCTCGCTACTCTAATGAGCTTGTTCCTGTTTGCGAACAAGTCCGCGAATGCCGCTTTTCTGCGAACGAGCTTGTATTTGTGCCCATAACGTTGAATTTCTTGAACCAAATACTATGTAAGTTTCGAATAAACACAAATTTCGTCGAATCGTATACTTCTTGAGATGATGGATTGGCACCGATTTTTGGAGACAGTTTTAGACCTACCTGCCTTGTAAGTTTTACTCTACAAAAGAAGAAGACAAATGCCGAAGTAATGTGAAAAAATTCAAGCAGTTTTCTGTTAGATCGCCAAAAACCTAAGAGGTAATAAATTTCAAATATGTGGTGTCGACTTACTTATTTGAAGTGAGCTGTTGAGGAAGTATTTGAAGTTTGTAAGAAGGTCGTATGCCCCTTTGAGTTGAAATTTTTGAGAATAGTGTCAAAAATGAACTAAGATGGTTGGCCCTTTGAAGTTATAATTTTCTATAGAAACGTCAAATCATAGCAAATTTATCTCGACAAGAAGCTAGCTTATCTAACTAGAATTGCCCTTAATTTCGTTTTTTATCGAGATTTCCGACATTCGGGACTCCTAAAATGGTCAAAATTGAGGCAAATCCTACATTGCACTGTTAACTTTCTATTCTATCAGTCTTACGCCCAAGAGGATCGTACATCTTATCAACAAAAGGGCGATATATGGACTTTTAAAGCCGTCATTAGTGCTTCCTAGTAAGCTTGGGATTCTCCCTATTGTCTCGGAAGCCCGTTGTATCATAACTTATTGTTCGTAGTCCAGAAAGGACATACTTTTTAGAAGTTCTCTATGAGCTGTTATTTCGAATAACTTCTGAGAAATTGTATACCAATTCAGAACAGATTATGCTGCATCAGCTCGTGAATTCAATCAGTCAGCTGTATGGTCTTTCCTAGTTTTTAGTAGAAGCGCAATCACGGAATGGATGCTCATTATTGCTCCCATGAGTTAGTTTTTCTCCATTATTGGTAGTTATCTTGATGAATCGAATGGAAAAAGCGTCATCGATGCTAGTTTGGCCACGCTCTTCATTCAAGTAATTAGTCATTTCAAAATTAGGGCTTTTCACCTTCAAACTTTCACCTTTCAACCAAGTTTTCTCAATATATTAGACATATTCAGTTGGCGCCTCCGTTCTCTTTCAACCCCAGTCGCTTCAAACCTTCTGGTACAGTGAAAAAACAAGCGACCCAACTTCCCCTTTGCTCTCTTATTCCGAGATAACAAAAAAGTAATGCGTAAGCGTATTTAATGAAGCAAATGTTTATGGATCAGTTGCTTAATGGATAACGCAAAAATTTGTGACTATCAAAATGCTTGCACTACTGGGACTCCAGTCAGTAGGATTATGTTTTGCAGAAGAGCAAGGCAACGTTTTTTTATTTTTTATGAATTATTAACTGTAAACACATTCATTTAGAACTAGCTGGCTTACCCGGCTCCGCCGTATCCGGACCAAACTTGGCACACATACACTTCGGGCCCCGGCGGGTGTCACAGTCCACTTTTCGTTATCGATCGATGTCGATTTTACCGATTTTTATCGATTTTTTTGCAGAGTTCACCTACAGGGCTAGGAGTTGGCACAGGGGGGAAGTGAGCATGGGGATTCCGAATACAATATTAGTTTTCAGGATCGTCCATTACTTTTATTGATTTCATCGATTTTTTGTAAATTTTGACATGCGAGGCTGGGATTTTGCACAGGGGGGTAATCGAGCATGCTGATTACGAACACAATATTAGTTTTCAGGATCGTCCATTACTTTTATCGATTTTATCGATTTTTTTGTAAAGTTTGACCTGCGGGGCTGGGAGTTTGTACAGGGGGTAATCGAGCATGCAGATTACGAATACAATATTAGTTTTCAAGATCGTCCATTACTTTTATCGATTTTATCGATTTTTTGAAAATTTGAGCTAGGGGGCTGGAATTTGGCACAGGGGTGTAATCGAGCGTGCTGATCACCCCCCTTGGGGATGATCAGCATGCTCGATTACCCCCCTGTGCCAACTCCCAGCCCCCTAGCTCAAACTTTGCAAAAAAATCGATAAAATCGATAAAAGTAATCGATAATCCTGAAAACCAATATTGTATTCGGAATCCCCATGCTCGATTACCCCCCTGTGCCAACTCCCAGCCCCGTAGCTCAAACTTTGCAAAAAAATCGATAAAATCGATAAAAGTAATCGATAATCCTGAAAACCAATATTGTATTCGGAATCCCCATGCTCGATTACCCCCCTGTGCCAACTCCCAGCCCCGTAGGTGAACTCAGCAAAAAAATCGATAAAAATCGATAAAATCGATATCGATCGATGACGAAAAGTGGCCTATGACACCCGCCGGGGCCCGAAGTGTATGTGTGCCAAGTTTGGTCCGGATCGGTTCAGAAATGGAATTTTCTATTCGGAACATACGTACACACATACATACATACATACATACATACAAACAGACATTCAGCTTTATATATAAGATAGTACTGAAAAATTTCCTTTGGCCATCCATTAAGCTACAACTTCAGCTAACCAGCCATCTGTTTTCTCAGACAGTGTAAGCGTTTAGTACACGGAGAGTTTAGGTAGTATGCAATTATCATGGAAATTCGTAACTGCATATTATGAATTGATAATTTTGAAGAACTTGGGAGTAAACATGAGCTGCTGAAGTATACTTCCAACTTACTAATTTCATCTCCTTATTTATTATACTTCCAGCTCCATGCTTCCAATATACTTTATTTGAGGCTAGGGTAAGAAGTCGCAATGTTTTTCATCAATACTGCAATAAAGAAACCATGGGCTTCCATTGACCTTTTCATGTCATGGTTGAGACATTGTTGGGACTTATACGAGTTGCATTGCAAAAAAACGTAACTTTTTTGGATTGAATATGATTCTCTTTTCACAAAACACACGCTGTGACGTCATCATAACTTCACTTTCACGAGAAAGGAGAGGGAACAGGAGGAGGAAGGTGATAAATAAGTGCTTTGATCTGGTTTTTTCTACTTGGATGGATGCTGAAGTAAACTCCAGCAATTTCTTAGAATGCTTGTTTTTTTCTAAAATTCGTACTGTCCTGCGCTCATTCTGATCATAGCTCAGTTGACTACAATTATATCCAACCCGCCCAAGTAGCAATTGTAGATCTCGCCTATGGCTGGAACGTCGCCGCCTATTGATGCTTGGAACTATATACTATTTTCCATCGAGGACATTATGAATGTGTTATCTATCCCCGTTATTTGCATTTTATTTTACATCTGCATAGTGCAAAGAAATCTTCATGTCAACTTTAGGTAGGTTTGTGTCATTTTCCTAGGTTTCAAAATGTATTTTTTACCTTGCAGGTGTTTACTGGCCTTGACTGGAGTTGGACATTTGATTTGTTCCTTACATAGACTGATTCTTGTTACTGCCCGTATGTGCTGCATTGCGCAGCAAGTCACACCTCTTGTGGTTTGTTAGATTTTCGAAATTCCAGAAATTTTTCGGCACTATAACATGACTTTAGAGTAAATTGTTGGTGGTCCAATATGTTGGCAACAACTTAGCAGTGTTTGCTTGGCTTTTCGTGACCATTGAAAGAGCTATAGCGACCGTATATACAAGCAAATACGAAAAAAGATGCAAAAAGCGTATGTGGCCTATTTTCTTGTGCAGCAGTGTCGTAAGTTTTACAGGCCCCAAACTTCTATTATTAGATTTACACTATCTATTTTAAGGTCTTTCTCGCAGCTGTTGTATGCTACCTCGCACAATCGAATTTGGGCAAGTCCACATTTTATATGTTGTCGTCGCTTCCAAACTCATCTCTGGATTTTTCAGTCAGAAATTTCGACTTTTACATTATGGGAATCCATATTTCACTTGTAGTTATCTGCTTTGTGGTAAGATTTTTGCTAGATTCAATTTAGTTTAGCTCAGTTTTCAAAATAGGATTGGTTATGCGAAGGTGGGCCTTAAAGGCACCTCCAGGCAAATCTGGGTATATGGGGATCTCACATGGATTGTAACTTTGGGGCACTAACTAGCCACTGCCCAACCGGCAGCCCAGGTCGTGTTCTAAATTCTGAGATATTTATTCGCCTCCAAACTGGACCTCAGGATGTATCTTGCATGGATTCATGGCGCAACACATCAGTCTCGCGTAGGTCCTGCCGCGAAAGCATGCAAACACGATGCAGGTCGTCCGATAATACGATCCTGAGGTCCAGTTTGAGGACCTATATCTCAGCCATAGTGAGTCGTTTGCGCTGCAGCTTAGGCCGTGCCTTGGTTAGTGCCCCAGAATCACTTTCCACGTAAAATCCCCATAAGTTCAAATTTGCCTGGTCGCTGCCTTCAAGCTTGGAGCAGAATCGCGAATTTATCCCGCAAAATGTCGCGCGATAAATTCGTTGTTTCTCTCAGTCCCAATCATGCCAAAAATGTCATGGCGGGAGAGGGTCGCTAGAGCCGTTAGACTTGCAAAATGCTTGTCTGTTCTCTCTCTCTCTCTCTCTTTTCAGTCTTCTCGCTCTCCCTGATGGGTGCATGCGCAAACTCTTAGCGCTGCGTGCGCGCAAAGTTACGCCAACAGTTCAGCCTAAACCCGGTTGGGACAGACTGTATGTAGGCTTAACCGAAATTGGCGTCGATAGTTGTTTAAGTTTGCCAAGCCGCACGAAGAAAAGGGACAGCATTTCTTGACAAGTGTTGCTCGCATAACAACGTATCTTCAACTTCTAAACGTGCCGTTCTGTGTATGCTTTGATCGATAAAAGAGCAATTAATTGGAGTTTATGAGCTACAAAACTCGGAAGGACAAATTTACAATTTTAGACACAGCTCTCGACGTCGTCCCAAATCGGCAAACAGCAGATTAAAGTCACATTGTTTAAGAGTAGGCATCTGAGTGAAGCTGTGAAAGATCTACGTTTGATTGTGTATGATTTAAACTAAAGGAGGAGTAGAAACAACCGCTCTTTATTCTGATTAGCTGTGTGAATAGGCCTTGACCTCAGGAGTTCCGAAGTGCACTGGTCGATTTTCAACTATGCAAAACATTGGTTTCCGTTATGGAATGAATTTAAAAACAGCTAGGTTCTAGCTTTGATATCGAACAGCTAAGATTTTCGAGATTTTCGAACAATGTTTTAGTAGTTGAATCATTTTGTTTGGTCCTAGCTATTGTATGTCTCATAATTTTTTTACCGTTTTTACTTTCTTCCGCTATGACTCATACTGTTGCGGCTCGGTAGGCTCTGCGCCCCCTCACCTAGCGCTCGACAGCCTTGCGCTGCAGCTCCTGTCCCCTTAGGGCTCCCGCGGTTGCGGGTGGGCCCTACCCACAACGGCGCGTTACGCACACTGTACACGAAACAATAAACATACATAAGTTTACTAAAAACTAAACACACAAAGGATACACGACATAAAACAAATATAAAATTACATTCACCACCGGGAGAGTTAAGCTCTACCCCGGGCTACCGATGGGGACTCTAGCTTACTCACAATCACACACTAACACACTTTCACACTCTCCCGGCATCCAAGGGAGCTACCCACAGGCCGGCAGCGCGCCGCCAAGGCAGCAGCTACGGCACGCAACACCGACCCCATAATGTTAACCAGCTACATCGAACTAAGCTCCCAACGACTCCTGCGCGACCACGGCGCTTCGTGATGTTCATCATCTTGGAATTCTATCCTCGCGCGTTCATCCAAACAATTCATCAACAATCCATCCAATCGCGCGAGGCACGGGGACGTAGACACGACGACGATATCGTGGAAACCCAGCCAATCATTAATGAAAGCGGCACGACGATAGTAGTAAGATGATAAGACGAGAGAGGCCGCAATGGCGCGCGTACGCGCTATTTATAGCGGTGGCTGCGGCGTGCCTACGTGGTGTGGTCTCGGAGCGAACAAGGTAGCCGCCGTGAAGCACTGGACCGTGCTCATGACAGAGACGCGCGGCAACACGGTGCTCCCGGCCACATGCTGTGAGGAGCGGTCGATCGCGAGCCGCGACACATACTATTCTTGTTAACAAGGTTTTGAAGTACCTTTCAACAAAGCAAAGCAAGCTCTACAAGATTACCCCCAAACACATGCTCAAAGTCTATTCTATATAAAGTTCGAGGCAGAAACTAAAGAAGATCTAAATGCACAAAAAGTCGAAAAAAATAATATGTATCTTCGTTTAAAATTTGCTGTATATCCTACTTGCTCAAGCATGTACCCTCGATATCATCCCATATGTCTTCCCTCAACATGACGAGGATTACGTGGCTTGATGAAGCGCCGCCTCGCCTCGGGCTTGCGCCACGTTGCGTGCGTATTTTCGGCGTGATGTGGCAACAAGAAGAACGTGGAAAAGCCTGCGCCACGTTGTGTTGAGCGCCACGTCGCGCCAAATGATCGCCAGGCGGCGCTTCATCAAGCCACGTAATCCTCGTCATGTTGAGGGAAGACATATGGGATGATATCGAGGGTACTTCCTATTTTGATACTTAAGCGTAAATTTAATTATTTTTCCCATTGGAAACTCGAGAAACGTACATACACATAGGCTAAAAATAGAAAAGAGTCGTATATTTCGGAATTTTTGCATTAAAATCGATTTTTAGAAACTGTCGCATGTAAAAACACAAAGTCCATATTTCTACCTCTAAAGGCTTACTGCAGAATCATCTGTGTGAGAGCAGCCTAGCAAAGTTTTCGCAAAAATTCAAAAAGATTTCTTTCTATTTCTAACCATGCAAGGAATTAGCAAATTTCTAAATAAATATTACATATGGAGAGATGCCTGAGCATGTAGGAAGTTTTTAGAAATCTCTCAAAAAAGCTATAATTTTTTCGACTTTGCAAAAACTCATGTGGATCTTCTCTGATTTTGGCTTCGAATTCTATGTAGAACAAACTTTGAAAGCAGCGTCATCCAAGATTTTACCTTTCATGTTTTAATCATTCCGGGGCCTTTCCGTGTCCCTGAATACAATTAAAAAGTTCAAAATGTGCAATACCCCAAGGACTGGATTCATACTGTTCCGGAACTGTGCTGCATGCACAGCCCGCATGCGGTTTTGACCGGCGCGAAGTAGCAATTTTTGATTTTTTACAAAGAACATACTCTTTGCTTGTTTTCGTCCCATTCTTGTACCTCGCTTGCTCTTGCAATGAAAAAGGTTCCAAAGAAAGGAGAAATGAAAGAAGGAAGTACAGAAACGAGCGCTATTTCTTTGTGTACATCAGGCTAAAAGCTATTTCAAAGTGATACCTCTTCCATCTGTGATTTCTCCAGTTTCGGAGTTCTTTCGTCATAAACGAAACGTCAAGAACGAACGAGTAAGCATATGAGTTTAAGAAGAAATGGGGCTAAAAAGCCCAAAAACCAAATTTCATCAAAACACAAAGAAAACTTCGCGACCTCCTCAATCGTTATAAAAGTATCAGTCCTTTTCGAAGAGACCTCGTGATATCGAGAACGCAGCGACATTCTATACAAAATAAGTGTTTGAAAGAAAATTCATGATTGAAAAGGGACGCGCGAAGGAAAACACATCTTTTATCGTCGTCTCCCCAGAGTATGTTGGGCGGAGCTTTTGCGGACATTTCAACACGTTGATGAACTTGTTAACTCTCTACTACAAGACATTGTATTTTGTGATCCCTCGCTACCAACCCTGCCACGTGTGACAAGAGCATATAAACGTGGCAGTTTAGAGAGAACAAAGAACCGTGCTTTGCAGTAGAGGCTTTACAAGTTCACCAACGTGTTGGAATGTCCGCAAAAGCTCCGCCCAACGTACGCTGGGGAGATGACGATAGGCAAGACAAAACATGGAAAAACTTCAATTTCGAACCTTGCATAAGTTCAGAATTCTCTTCATTACAAGAGGAAGCAAGGTGCAAGAGTGAGAAAAAAATGAGCAGAATATAAACTAAAACCGTTCAAGAAAGTTATTTTTAAACTCGCGACGCTCAAAACCAAACAGTTCCAGCACAGTACGAAAACTGTGCAACTGTTCCGGAAATGCGGGTCAATATGAACCCAAAGAGAAAGCTCAACTTCTGGAACCCTATCAAGACCCACGGCTTCCACTACTTGGGCGGAAAGAGCTTGACAAGATTTGGGCGTGGCTTGATAGCACTTTCGGGCTCCAGGTCCAGCATCTCTATTGAGAAACAACAGTGGAGGACCGGATCGACGCAGATGCCCCTCTTCTGAGGCCTGAATTCAGAGTACTTATCAGTTGGAGGAGGTTAGGCTTTGTCTGGGCACTGCCTTCAAACGAATGTTTTGGTGTAGCCTTCCAGTGCTGTTGATTTGCTCTCTCGAATGGTACCGCATAAGTTGTTCAAAAAACAAGAATAATAAAAGAGGTTATAGGAGAAAGCGAAAACGGTGAAAAAAGGTGTGAGACACCCTAATATACTTCACAATTTAATTTATGAATAAACAGGCAGCACAAGGTTTTATTGGTGTAGATTTACAGCTTAAATGTAGTGGTTCGTGCAAGGAAGTTAATAGCATTTTTCTAGGCTCTGGCTACTATCGTATTTTTCAATATCTCTGCATACCGTAAAAGACATACTACGATGATGCAATTGTCGAATCGGTATCAGTTAGATGAGAACATACGCGGGAGCCGTTACCTTATTCCTGTAGCACTCAATGATGTATTTGTGAAGGTAAGTTGTACTGAGTGAGATTGGCGATATCTAATACGAAATCTAGAAATTCAAGGTTGCTTTCATTTTGCTAATGGCGTATTCTTTATTTTTTACGAATATTCCTCTTGGTCTCGACACCACTCATTTGAGTCATGCTTATGACATAGTTAGTTTATCATTGATGTGGTATTCATATAAACAAGTTTTCAACTTTCAGTTATGGGCTTATCAGCGAATATTCTTTGGATTAGCATTGACCATTCGCAGTCAGAAACTTGATCACATCTTCCGAAGACGGAAAAAGACTACAAAGGCTATTGAAAAACACGCTGCTGCCACTGATAAGTACTACGTGGACCTCAAAGAGATGTGGTCTTGAATACGCGCATACAAATGTACATATATCCAAGTGCAATTCTCGATACTGCTTTAAAAACTAATAAATTGCATTACCTTTAGTGGTCTATTTGCAATTTTTCATAACTGTTACAAATAAGATTGTTGAATATTTTTTAAAACTTCAGAAATAAGATACACAGTTCTTCCGGACACATTAGAGCCCATATATTTGTTTCCCTTGATTAGGGTTGCAAACCGAGAAGGGATTAGAGTTTTGGATATTTTTCACGAAAGCTAATAAAACTCAGATCTATAGATTCCTTGATTTTTTTTGGTAGGTGTTGTTTGGTAGGATATTCGCCAATATCGTTATCTTAGGCAGGCATCAGCATTTAGACGTTACGAGACTGCTGAAAGGTTAAAATTCAGAGATTGGCTTCAAAGTAGTCCAGCGACAACATTTGTCACTGGACTACTTTGAACATTTGTTTCGCACTAAACTACAGAATGTCCCAAAAGTATGTATGCACTTTTATCGTCGATATCTCTCTCCCCAAAAGCATTTTGCCTACTTTTGAGTATCATTCTGTAGAAATGGCTTCAACTTAACGTATGGAGCGACTCATCGATCGCTCTTCAACTGCAGGATTACAGTAGAAACTTCAAAGAGGACTTTGAGTCATTGATGGTCCTACAGCGCCTTAAAGAGCGAACTAAACAGCCTGAAATCTCTTACACCAAACTAATTCCGAAACGTCAAAACTAAGTATGAAGTTTGCACTCTACCGCAATGGTTTCATCATAAGCTATGCTGGGTAAACCGCAACAGCGTTCTTACACTGCTTTCGAAAATTGTGATTACACCTTCTGAAAAGCTTTACAAACTCGTAAAAAGTTGAGCAATAAAATCAGCAAGTATGAAAACCCTGGTACAACATATTTCGAATTTTTTGGAAACTTTATTTGAAAAACGATTAATCCACAGCGACGCTGTATACTGGAAGTAGCTCCTGCCCTAATCCTACAGTGATGAGAAGCAATCAGTGATTCACTCCAGACTCTAAATCTAAGTTGAAGCCAGCTCTACAGAATGGTACCTAAAGGAAGGCAAATAACCTCTAGGGAAGAGAGACATTAACAATCAAACAATGTATACATACTTTTGAGACATTCTGTATAACCACTGAACATCATAATGCCGTGGTATCCCAACACATGCCTTCAGTTTCGATGCAAGAGGTAATCAAAGGCGTTTTAGCCGCAAGTAATATCGTCATTGCTTGTTTAGCGCAGTTACTGCCACTTTACGAAGTGTTTGCTTTGAAAACTACTATTTGATGAGTCTGAACATGGATTGCATAAGGAACACTGAATGCGGACCCGAAAGCTTCGGAAAAAGCTCATTTTCGCTATTTTCAGCCGCTGAAAAGCCCAGATATGGGTTCTTTATGACAAGAAGGCTTTAAAAACGTGGAAATCTGAAAAACGATATTCTGCCGAGACAATGCCTTCAAAGGCACCGTCCACCCAATTTCTCGACTTTCATGTTTTGGTCGTTCCGGGACCTTCTCATGTCCCTGATTTCGAATGGAAAGTTAAAATTTCGCTAAAATCTCGATAATTCCCGTTTTGGAAAACCCGTAGGCCGCTTCTCAGAAACGGTGATAGGATGGAGGCGCGCGGACGGGCGGGAATTACTGGAGTGGCGGCGGTAACTTGAGGTCTTCATACATCTTCATTACCCCGAAGCAATCTACTCGCTTCCGAAGAAACGTTTTGTGCCGCTAATTGGACATTGGTTTGGTAGGTGGTTCTACTATCGTAAGCTGCCAAAAGCTCAGGCCTAACTTAGGGTGGACGGTGCCTTTAAGGCTTTATCCTTCAATTTTGCCCTGGAGAACGCCTTTCCTTCAACATTAACTTAGTTCGACTTTACGTCTTGCTGCGCTTTTACCTCTAATACGTGATAGCGTCATCATGACATCCATGAACTTTGAGAAATTCTAATGGACAAAATCCACATTGCAGCTGCTTTATATTCCAAGGACGAATCTCCTCACAATTTGAGATGGGAAACGGAATTTATCTACCCAAAGAGGTATGCCGCCATGTACCCTATTTTCAGGTGTATAAGCCGCACCCTTTTCGCTCTAAGGGCGAACACGCCAAAAGACTGACTGTCGTCGCGTTAAGTGAGAGCAGTATGCGATAAGGCGACCGCTTCGCGAGACATATGCGCGGCGGCACGCCTGGGTCTGCTCGCGTTTAGAGCAAAAAGGGTGCGGCTTATACACTTGAAAATAGGGTAATTAGCAGGGGACATGAGAGGTCATGAACTGTCAACGCTAATTTGCACCCATTTGCACTTAAGACAAGCAGATTTTGCTCACGACAGATACGACATCATCCTACAGTGTACGAAATCGGGATTTCATTGAAGTTTAAATTCAAAGTTCAGTAGTGAAATTAGTCCAACTAGGGTAAAAATTTGTATTTAGGGGTAATCTGCCATGCTGGTTCCAAATATGATAGTGGTTTTGCGTAAAAACTCAAAATTTTTTCTTTTTGAATTTCAATCTTGTTTTCAAAATCTGGCAAAAAGCTTAAAATTGTTATTTGAGGGTTTTCCATGATGCTGTTTTCGAATATGCTATTGTTTTCAATGGAAACTCCGAAAACTTTCTTTTGAAATTTTGACTTTTCAAATTTCACGGCAACTTTGAAAAACTGGAAAACAAATGAAAAAGAATGCTTCTTCCAGAAAGACTAGAAAGATATAAACTGCGAAATAAAATTTGAATTAAGGTAAGAAAAAATTCAATGAAGCTGAAACTAAGTTTGAAGGATTGGAGAAGATTCCCAGTTATCATTAAAATCTGTGTGTTATCAAATTCTTCTGGACACTACATTAAATTGTTATCATATTCGTAAAGACGCCCTAAAAAACCCCCAAATCCAAGTTTTTATTCTGATTTGCCAAATATCGCCACTGAACATTGATTTTAATCCCATCACGAAGCTCGGTTTTATTTCACGCAAAACCACCATCATATTTGGAACCAGCATGGCAGATTACCCCTAAATAAAAATTTTTACCCTAGTTGGACTAATTTCACTACTGAACTTTGAATCTAAAATTTCAATGAAATCCCGATTTTGTACACTCTGTAAGATGATGTCATATCTGTCGTGAGCAAAATCTGCTTGTCTTCGTTACAAATTGGGTGCAATTAGCGTTACTGACAGTTACCTCTCATGTCCCCTGCTAACTACGTGGCGGTATGCCTCTCTGGGTAGATAAATTCCCGCAACCTTTGAGACAAATTACAGATTTTTCTCAACGAATGTCAACCTTTTGCAGGTGTATCCAAAAGTGGATTCGGCAGTCGATGACCCAATCTGCTCTGCAAGTGTCCCCACGTCCACACGCATAAATTTATTGAGTGCAGGCTACAAACTTTCTTTTTACAATATAGTTTGCTCTTTCGAGAAACTAGCGCTTTATTTCTCATTATTTTATAGTAGACAAATTTGTTCAATTATCACGTTTGTTTGGTGATCATTGTTGCATAGACAAAATGAATAATTAAATAAAATATGCGCTTCATTAGGGCACCTTTTCGACACTCAAAAACTGATTTTAAATTTAATTGACTTTCTTGAAAGTTTCCTTAGGCTATGGTTACGAATATATTAGGTTGTCCCGAAAGTTCTGTCCGTTTTTTCATCGCTCACTAAAACTCGAAACCAATCCATAGATGACCTAGGTACCACTTGAATCAGATTTTGTCCTCTTTCCTACAGCTATATTTGCTCTCTGATCTACCTTGTCTTTGCGATTTCATCGCCATGGCTTTTTGAGTAGCTCAGCAGTAGTGCCAGACCTTTCCCGAAATTTGAAAATTTTTATCCTGATGTTTTCAAAGAGCGGTGGAAGCGGTTACGTAGAGCAAACCTTTGGCTACATTGCACACAGTTTAGGTTACAACGTTTACCAAGTCCGTTACAATCATTTATTGAACGAAAACCGCGGCTTTTTGATGACGTCTACCAAGTAAAGTTACCGAAAACTCTCAAAACTGATTTTTCAAAAGCAAATTATACTTGGTTATGTTGCATATATTGTGTTTACCAGCAATCAAGTTTCAATTCGCAGAATTTTTAAAAGCTTTCTTTTTTTGCTGCAGTTGCGTGTTTCATGACTTTGCCAAAAATCCTCCGAAGAAATAATTTTTAAAGCTAAAAACAGCAGATTAGGAGAATCTAAAAACACTACCTTGTAGTCCGAGAACTGCTCTATTTGATCCACACTTAACATTTTCCGAAACTTTGAAATTAAATTTTTGAAAATTAGCCTTATTATGAGCAGAGAAAATTGACGGGTGGAGAATTTTGGCAAGTGGCAAGTAAAGCATACAGGGTTGTAGTTCGAAAATATATCCATAGGAAAAAAAAAAGAAAAGCTGCATCGAAAGCATGTTGATACTAATTCAGTTCTTTATTGTGCGTAGTTTTACGTTCGTTTAAAAAACCGACAAAACTTTCGGGACAACCTAATATTATTTGAATGTTACTTTATTTACGCAAATGATTTTCTTTGTCGAATAAGCTGATAAGCGAACAAGTTACTTAGGGCTGTAAGAAGTTAGAAAGGACAAAGATGTGACAAAACCTTCTTCTCGACCTGATGTTGTCAATCATGTTTTGCAAAGTTAGCTAACAAAAGATCAGTTTGTACTTCTAAAGCCTCATATGTATACTCTTACACCAACGCAAGCATTATGAAACAAAACACATGAAAGTTTTGATCAGTTCATGCTGAAATAACTGTAACACATTTTTTTTGCTCATGACAAGATTTCTGACATTCAAATATATTCGATTATTAAGGCAACAACTAATGAGCTCTAGCTAAAACAGAAAAAAGTAAAACAAGACTAGATATAGTGCTACATATTACAGCTATTCGATAGATACCCATGCTGCTCACCAATCTTCGAGCTAATGACCGTAGTAACTCCCTCCCCCTCAAATTTCTCACAGCGTGAAGAAGGCCTGGTGTTACCGTTTCGAACACCTCGTGTGCTGGCACCACCGTGCATTGTTCGCAGCAAGGTTACGCACAGCCGCAGAACCGGCAGCAGTGACGCGGTTATAGGCATTACGCGCAATAGCAGAAATAATTGCTGTCAAATCAGCATGTTCCACTTCTAAGCAGTGGCAAGGTTTCGTTAAAGAGCTTTCCGCGCTTTTCAACCATATAATGTTTTCGTAAATTTTTGGAACCTGTTTCTACTGCCACATCTCCGTTTATCAAAATAATTATATGTCGTAAACTGTAAGTTGCACATGAGTCAGTGCTTTTATTTCGTGCAAAAAAACCTGATTGAGAAGCGTGTTTCACGCAGACTTGTGTTTGAGCTCGTCACTGGTGTAGCAGCTTGTCAACGGTTTGCGTATGCGCACATGTGTAAATTCAGTTTTCCTTCTAAAACAATTTCTATCTTGGGATTTGCTCTTCTCGTGGGAACCCTGAATGGAAGAAAGGATATTTAAATTAAGAAGCATTTTTCCAGTTTTCAAAGGAGTACAACTTGCTGCTTCAAAAGGATAGAGATCATAGATACGGTCGAGCTTGGATTTAAGCACGCCCATTACTAGAGGTGCACCTGTCCCATGCTTGATTATGCTTATAAACCCTGCTTATAAAACTGTCAAGACTGGAGATCTTAACGAGTAAACGGCGGAGGTGGGAGATAGGAAGGCGATCAGGCACAATCGTTAAAAAAATCAGGTTGACTCACTTTTTTGAAGATTGTGCCTGACTGAGTTAAATTACCTGCGCAATCCAAAAGTTGCTCCATGTTCATTTGTCTATTTTGATAGTAGGCTTGAAATCTAAATAATAATTTAATCTCAAATGCTCTCCCTTCCTAAGAAAAGTATCGCTCTTGACTTTACTACTGAAAAAAAATTCACCGTCGAATATGCTGTGCAGCATGTAGGTCGAGTCCAGTAGCAGAAATCTGTCTAAAAACTTCAAAAAATTGAGACTCCTCAATAAACAAGAACATTGCAAATTCTAGAAAATGTTGTTTTTAGCTCATAACGAAGCAGGTTCTTTTTTAATTCCAAAAAAACATGTAGAGAAATGTAGTTTTATGGAGCTGCAAGTAAGTGAACGCTAAGCTGATAAGAGTTTTAGTTAGTATCAAGCGTGTGGTCAGACATCCCCCATAAAACAACACCCGCCAGGATCTCATAAGATGAAACCTTTGCTGAATCTTTCTTTCTTATTACCATCTTTTGCGATTTTATGTTGTATCGAGACGCTATATTGTTTGCAAAGCGTATCATCGACTGCACCTGTAAAATTTGCTACAAAAACTCTGATATTATATTGCTACGATTGGTTGCTTGCAACTTCGAAAATTTTTGACAACTAAAAACTTCTGCGGAATTCCATTCCACTAATTTTTCAAATGATCTATGCAGTGCTCCTGCATGCTCTACGAGGGAAGGGGATTTTGATCCATGCATAATGACTCGACAAAAATTTATTATCGAAGATCCTTGAAAAACACCAGTACTCTCTCTGTGCCATCGTGCATGTGCAAATCATATTGAGGTTTGTAAACGCATTCATAGCCATGCTTCATCAGCAACTTCTGGTTGGCTAGCGATGTTGCCTCGGACACAATGCCTTGAAATCCTTCTTTCTCAAAAACAAAAATCATGTAGTGTGCAGTATCAAAAAAATGTTCGCAACCCACCTTCAATTGGTTAAAATCTAATCCAAGATGTAGTAAATAATTTGCAATTCCTTTTCGCTGATGTTTCGGCACTACATGAGTAATCTCACGCCGCAGGACTTTGTGTATGGACTGATCAGCAACCTTCCAAAATGCTTGCTTTGACTCGTCCAGGATCTCGCCGAAAATATTTCCTTGCCCATGCTCCAAGCAGATGAAAATCATCATCAACTCACAAAGTCGCTTTACAGATGGATCACTTGGCTCGATGAATGGGATTGGTTCCACATCAAGGCTATGATCTCTGTGTCCAACGGAAAGAAGTCGAAAACCAATCAGATTTTTCGTTCCCTAAACTTCTTCAGAAGGTACATCATTAATATCACTCATGTCAACGCCTAGCATGACTAACGCCGAGAAAGCTGAAAAATTTCAAAAGAAATGTGAAGTGTATTATGGAACAGGAGCAGAGCACAGGAATGTATATAAGTAAAATATAGTTAGTGTGCAATCGCAGTTGATAAGTGGAATGTGGAATACAGCAAGCAAATGGAATGATTTTCGGATAGAGACAGCGAAGGTGGGGCGTCGTCGCCGATACGCTTTAGAGGCAGTGGATCGGCAAAACTAAACAACTCAGGATTTTAGCGTGGTAGGTTGCTTATCGCCCAAGTATGAGAACATTGCAATCCCGGTCGCATAGCATGCTTTCCCTACAGAGAAAGTTGCTCTTAAACTTACACGCGCAGGCCAATCTTACACGCGTTCGGACGAGTTGACAATTCTCATCTCACCATTTAAGACTTCCCGCCGCAATGCTATAACCATTGGGTCCCGCAGCGATTGGGCGTCATCAGCTTTGCTCCACTCGTCCAATTTCACAGCGAAGGGCATTGAAAAACGCTCGATTTCGCCGTTTTCAAGCCATATAAAATGGATTTTCGAGATCAGCGTATTGAAAAACCCCAGGTAAGCGCAAATTTGTCTAGGTTGAGATTTGCCGAGCCACTGCCTTCAAAGGGGCATTGGCGCGGCAAATCTGGGGTTATGCTTTTAAAGGCAGTGGCTCGGCAAATCTCACCCTAGTCAAATTTTTTCTTATCTGGGGTTATCCAATGCGCTGATTCCGAAAATCCATTTTTTAAAGCTTGAAAACGGCGAAAATGAGCGTTTTTTAATGCCCTTCCCTTTGGAATTGGACGAGTGGAGCAAGGCTGATGACGCTAAATCGTTGCATGGCCTAATGGTTATAGCGTTGCGGCGGGCAGCCTCTAATGGTGAGAAGCTCGTCCGGCTGCGTGTAAGATTGACCTGCGCGTATAAGTTCGAGAGCGATTTTCTTGGCAGGGAAGGCATGCTGTGCAAGTGAGTGTCACATTTTGAAAAAGGGTCATGTAGCGTACGCGGCGTACGTCGCGCAGCTGGCTCAAACCAAAAGGCGTAGCGGAAATGACCTTTCGAAGCAATTTTGAGTAGACGTGCTCCGGCTTTAAAGCCTGACTTGAACAATATCTGTGCCTTGTGCCTTGTGAAATCGCGTCAAGTGGCTGAAAAAAATCTTGCTCAAAGGCAGCGTCCACCGAAAAATTTGTCTTCCATGTATTTATTGCTATCGAGCCTTTCCATGGAGCTGATTTTGGATATGAGGTTCAAATTTTCAAAACTCTCCAAAAATGCCCCTATATGGAGCCTGGGCGAGTCCCCCGGCGCTAGTCGCTTTGTATGCAACAGGAAACCTCGTCGTGTGCAACGGTGCTACATCACAAAGTATGCGTCTCGACCTTGCTTGTCATGTCAGAACAAGTCATGGGGCAATCGAGGGTGGGCGGAGCGCAAAAAAGGGCGGATCGCAAAGAGATCCAGGGTCGTTAGGCAACATAAGGGAACCGGACCAACACGGTTGGTCTACTTTTAGTGACTGCTAATAGGATAAGTGCTAATTTGCGGTGACTATGGATGGATGTGCCGTCAAGGGATTTGGCGGCGCGCAGAGAGTTCTTTTCAAAACATGTTTGACGTTCAAATTCGCGCTACAGTTCTAGTTCGTTATCCCAGGAGTTGACTGTGACATTGTCTAAAGAAATGTAATGCCTTCGGCAGCGTCCAGGCAACATTTTTTAATCACGCTACAATTCTAGTTCAATATCCCAGTGATTTTATGATATTGGTAAAGGAGACATTGCTTTCAAAGGCAGTGTCCGAGCAGAATTCCTGTCTCCCGAACCACGGAGTCTACAAGCAGACACCAACTCAGACAATCGCCGGGGGCAGGCGGGCACCGGAAAAATAGATTGCTGATCTCTCGCACCCCGCTCGCGGATTTTTTGGAAAGCAATCAGGACTTTTCGGAAGACCGCTTGCTGAGTTCTCGATTCCTCAGAGATTCAGCAATATATCTGCAAAAGATAAGAGCGAAGAAAATTCAACAGGCGGTCTCTCAAAAATCCGCTGACTCAGCAAGCGGTCTTCCGAAAAGTCGTGATTACTTTGCAAAAAATCCGCGAGCGGGGTGCGAGGAATCAGCAATCTATCTTTCCGGTGCCCGCCTGCCCCCAGCGATTGTCTGAGAAGACGGTGTCTGCTTGTAGACCCCAATACGACAGAAAGCAGTTATCATATGCGTCTTGACTACACTTGACATGTCAATACATTTCAAGGAGCGATCCTCAAATGACAGGACCCTGATACCATCCCCGTGGTTTGCAAGTCCATTCCTTGCAAACCAACGTAGATGCTTCGCTTAAAGGGTTTACTTATAGACTACATATCAATCGAAGAAATGAATCTTGCCTGTGAGCACACTTTGAGACGTCAACGAAGAGTTTGATGTAGGTTTACAAATGTTCCAACACAATCTCGCAAGCGTGAGGATCAAAATCATGCTTCTTTATGAGACCAATGCTTTGCCTGAGATGAAGAGCCAATGATTTAGCCCGAAATTTGGCGCATGCCAGTAAAGGCCATGGCAAACTTTATTTCTAGGATTAGGTGGAGCTTCTCCAGGTCGGTGCCAACTGCGATTATTTCAAACGATTTTCAATTTTCTGTATGTAAATGTGATCTGCATACTATTAGGTTGTCAAGAAAATAATGTCCGTTTTTATTTGCTTGCTTTAACAAAGCAATCAGACTCAACCCAACAAAGAATAATGGGTATTGTCCGATAGAGCGAAGCAAGCTCTACAAGATGGCACTCATGCCTTTGCGCCATGCTCAATCCATGGAGAGTTCGAACTCAAAATCTAAAGATTCCAAATTCCCAAAAAATCGGAAAAAAATCAGATCTTCATCCAAATAATTTACACGGACCTCCCACTCGCTCGCATCAATACTATCAATATCTGATATCCATATGTGCAATTGCCGTATTTTTTCCTTGACTAGAAACTGAGAAAACGAAAATTTCCCTGTTTTTCTCGAAGCAATGCTGAGCCGTTTTTGCATATGTAGTCCTATACTACAAGCCTAGATAAGTATAAATGTAGATTTTCAGCCCATTCCAAGCGGTAGTTTTCGAAAAATAACGAATTCGGATTTTTTCGTTTCAGTTTCAGTGCTAAAATCGATATTTCTCGAACAGTACCGCTCGAAATAGGCTGAAAACCTACAATTATGCTTACCTAGGCTTGTAGTATAAAACTATCAGGTTGATGCATAATTCCTGCACCAAAATAGGTACATACCGCAATAACTCGGAATAATCCTACATCCCATGTAGGTTTCGATATATCATTAGATAGCGCAAACCTAGTTCTACAAGATAGTGCTCAAATATCTACACCAGCTTTGATCCACGCGAAGTTTTGAGCCAAAAACTGAAAAAAACCACGCGTTCGAAAACCTTAAGAAAGATCTTTAAAAAATTGTAACTCCGTTAAAAAAGCTCTTACAAAAATTCTTTCTTGCTCACGCGTAGACGTTTTACATAAGACATTTATCTATGCAGTTGCTGTATTTTTTTTCTCAGCTTGACGATGAGAAAACGAAGTTTTTCATGTTTTTGCCAAATTAGTGCTGAGATGTTCTAACACTAACGGTTGTATAGTATATGCCATTAGCAGTCAAACTTTACATTTTCAGCCTTCTAGAACAGCTAGTTCACGAGTAATGACGAATCTACTGTTCATCTGTTCATCCGAATCTACTGTTCATCTGTTCATCCGAATTTTTCTTGCCTAATTGCCAAAAATTCGATATTTCTCGTAAACCAGTTGCTGTAAAAAGCTGCAAATTCACAGTCACGCTTCTAAGGTCCTGTAGTATACAACTGTCAGTGCTAGAACATTTCAGCATTGTTTTGGAAAAAACATGAAAAACTTCGTTTTCTTATCGTCAAGCTGAGAAAAAAATACGGCAGCTGCATAGATAAATGTCTTATGTAAAACGTCTATGCGTGAGCAAGGAAGAATTTTTGTAGGAGCTTTTTTAACGGAGTTACAATTTTTTAAAAATCTTTCTTAAGGTTTTCGGACGCGTGGTTTTTTTCAGTTTTTGGCTCAAAACTTCGCGTGGATCAAAGCGGGCGTAGATATTTGAGCACTATCTTGTAGAACTAGGTTTGCGCTATCTAATGATATATCGAATGCTACTTGAAATATAGGATTATTCCGAGTTATTGCGGTCTGTACCTACTTTGGTGCAGGAATTATGCATCAACCTAATACATATGCGAAAACGGCTCAGCGTTGCTTTGAGAAGATCAGGGAAATTTTCGTTTTCTCAGTTTCTAGTCAAGGAAAAAATACGGCAATCGCACATATGGATATTAGATATCGATAGTATTGATGTGAGCGAGTGGGAGGTCCGTAGAAATTATTTGGACGAAGATCTGATTTTTTTCGATTTTTTGGGCCTTTGGAAATCTTTAGATTTTGAGTTCGAACTCTCCGTGGATCGAGCATGGCGCAAAGATATGAGCGCCATCTTGTAGAGCTTGCTTTGCTCTATCGCACAGTACCCATTATCCTTTGTTGGGTTGAGTCTGGTTGCTTTGTTAAAGTAAGCAACTAAAAACGGACATTATTTTCTTGACAACCTAATAGAAGGTCATATTATTGCTACAACCGCTACATAGCCCTTCTTTTCCATCTTCTTCAAGCTTTTGATTCTTTTATAGCCTGACAATCCCGCTGCAAGACCCATCTATGCTTTCAAGGCTCAATGATCGTCATTATCGCCTTTCGTGCTTCGAGCGTTAACAATGTCGTTTTGTTCATTCACTTTAGAAGACTTTATGAAAAATTTAGGAGATCAAACACCTTCCAACTCTGACATGCCTTCCTTTTCAAAACGCATAAAGTCAGTCTTGCATCAGTATTATGCTAAATGCAAAATTTCTGGACTTACGATTTTGTCACTGCTTAAAACATATAGATGACATGTATAGACGTCTCAAAATATTCTAACCAATCTGCAGTCAGTAATCGCCCCGATATTTTCAGATAAGGATTGGTCAAATACCCTACAAAACAGTTGGCTTCACTCATAGTTTATAAAAATGGCGACTACTTTTCATTACTAATCTTCGGATTTCTCCAAATCTTTTGATACTGTAATTCAGATTCCTTCTAAGTTTGCAAATACCTCTTGATGGACTCTAAGTGCACTAACACTGAATGCTGCTTCTAGCTGTAACAGTACATGTCACTTGCTTCTTCTCTAAAACTTTACAGTAAATTTCAGAAGAGTATGTAGGTAGGGAACACTGACGCGCACCGAGAATGGGATGCAAATTGGAATGCGTACAAATATCGATTCATTTTAATAACTTGAAAAGCAAATCTTTGTTTTGATGCTACCGCTATTATTTAAATAGTTAATGACAAAATACGACAGAAAGTTGATGGATATCAAATGAATAGAAAAAGGGGAAAGGAAAAAACTATTGAGCAATGAAAGTTGAAGTACTTACTTTTTCGTGTATCCGATAAGAATATGGATGATGTAAAGATCTTGCTGCTAAATATTCAAAAAGTGGTCTCATGGTTTCAGGCTTCGTGCCTAGCGCCTGTAAATTATGCTACAAAACTCAATGATCAAAGCAACAAAATATGAAAGCTTCGTTGCGCTATGAATAAAACTAACCTTCGAATGAGGTTCCTCGTGCATAAAGCTTTTCGTACATAAATCGACGATATCAGCCAAATCGGAACTCTTTGCTGGTATGAAATCGAATATTTGCGTTGGGTGCGCCTTCCCACAGTCTAATAGAGAACTGTGCCTTTTAGCGTTAACAAGAAACTTTGCGCTTACATAATCGAATCTGAAGGAGTGGCCGACGTAACATCTAAAAATTGCTATTAAGTAAACATGGACAAAACGAAAAGCTGCAACATTAAGCGTTTAGAAAGGGATTGATCTATTAGCGCTCCTATTCTTTGATTTGCATCTGTTTGACTTAAATAAGGTTAGTTATGAGTAGCACAGCATATATCATTTATTTTCATTTTACATCATTTGACATAATCTTCTATATAAAGCTGAATGTCTGTTTGTATGTATGTATGTCTGTCTGTCTGTATGTATGTATGTCTGTCTGTACGTATATTCCGAATAGAAAATTCCATTTCTGAACCGATCGGGACCAAACTTGGCACACATACACTTCGGGCCCCGGCGGGTGTCACAGTCCACTTTTCGTTATCGATCGATGTCGATTTTATCAATTTTTTGAAATTTGAGCTAGGGGGCTGGATTTTGGCAGAGGGGTGTAATCGAGCATGCTGATCACCCCCACGGGGGTGATCAGCATGCTTGATTACCCCTCTGTGCCAAATCCCAGCCCCGTAGCTCAAACTTTGCAAAAAAATCGATAAAATCGATTAAAGTAATGCACGGTCTCGAAAACTAATATTGTATTCGTAATCAGCATGCTCGATTACCCCCCTGTGCCAAATCCAAGCCCCCTAGCTCAAATTTTGCAAAAAATCGATAAAATCGATATCGATCGATACGAAAAGTAGCCTATGACACCCGTCGGGGCCCGAAGTGTATGTGTGCCAAGTTTGGTTCGGATCGGTTGAGAAATGGAATTTTCTATTCGGAACATACGGCGGAGCCGGGTAAGACAGCTAGTTCACTAATATAATGGAATGATGCATGTTTATGCACGTTCCTTATTCTGTCGCGGCCGGAAAGATATGAAAGTGAGCAAATAAACTATTCAGTGAAGCAAAATAGCTCTATAACTTGGCATTCACACAACTACTGAAACTTCTACTTTCGATCTACGTGACGCTTGGAAAAGAATTTAAATAGTTTTGAACAAGACTCCGTCCCAAATTCCATCCTGCAAACTTCCAACTTGGTCACGCATATGCTAACCACGCCAAGCATATGTGCACTTGCCGTATTTCTAGCTAGAAAAAGATGAATAACCCAAAAATTTGAGAATGTCTCCTTTTTTATGTTGCGTGTTTCTCTTCATAATTCCTCGAAAACTAACTGAAGAAAGTTGGAACTTTGTGGTTCACGTCCAAAATTTTAGTATAAAAGTATTCTTAGGAACAGCATAGCTTTGCTTTGCTACAGCATGTCGAAGTCTAATTTCTCAACTTTTCGTGGAAAAAACACATAAGTTGGTGTTCTTTGATTCAACGGCAAGGCGGGGGCTAGGAAATGGTCAGAGAGCACGCTCACGGGAGAAACGCAGACTGCTGCGCGGGCACGAGCAGCCGCCTTCCAGCCGCCAACCCCATTGAATCGAAGAGTACATGATCGGTTGATGGGGCAAGTGCGCTCGCACTTTCCTGAGTTGAAAGTTTGTAGGCTTCTAGTCAAAATTTCAATTCCAAATTTCAAAAATTCTTTTAATCTTCCTTCCAAATTTACGTATATCGAACTTTCTGCTATTAATCAGACGCCATTTTTGTATCATGCTGTATCGAATGTTATATTTCATGCAATTTTCCATTTTCTGTGCGCGGAGGATAAGGAAGTGATTTTGCATCGCGATATTAGCTGCTAGAAACTGGACGACCTCATGAGTTTTCCTTTTTGAAAACCTCATTTCTTTATCCATCAAGTTAAGAACACAGAGCAAGAAAGATGAGAGAGCAGATTGGAGTTTTTAGAAGTGCTAGCACTATTTGGACAACGCGGAAATCATCAAGAAAAGTTGATTAGAACGCAGAGAGCTTATTACCCGGATTTATGATACCTTGATGAAGGAACTTACGAGGAGTCAAGCTGGTTTGTATGGTATGCTGGCTGGCTTGCCCGGTTCGTCCCGGCCCTTTCAAAACACTTTGATAAAGGTTCCATACTTATCCCTATACAACCCCCTGTGCTGAATTCTACATCCCAAATTCCTCTTACCGCTGTGTTAGTAATCAGCATGCTCACTTATCCTTTCTCTCCTCTCCCCCCCCCCCCCCGTGCCAATTCCCAACTCCGTAGCTCGAACTTTGCAAAAAAAATCGATAAAATCGATACAAGTAACGGATTTAAAAACTGCTATGTGTTCGTAATCAGCATGCTCACTTACCCCCTGCGCGAACTCCCAGCCTGTAGCTTAAACTTTGCAAAACATTGACAAAATCGATAAAATCGACATCAATCGATGACGAAAAGTACATATGACACGCTCCCAGAAGTATGCAAAGTTTTGTTCAAATGGTTTTAGAAATAAAAGTTCCTATTCCGCGCATACGCGCACATAGACACACAGACAAAAAGACATTCAGTTTTATATATAAGATCACTCTCTTGGAACTGTACTTGTCGACTACTACTTACAATCACTGCTGTAGCCGTGAATTTGACATAGATTTGATATTAACCTTCGTTTGGTATTGGGTCTTCAATCCTATGAAAACCAGATTTCTCCGTATATTTTTACTGTATGCTGTTGCATGATTATAACAGTTGGCTAACATTTTTTCAAAAGAAATTCACAGTTCTAAAATGGAAAGTTGAAATTGAGGAGACTCCGGGCAAAGCCAGGTTGTATCTACGTAACCTAGCCTTGATACTTCTACACCTGTTTTTATTAGACAGACGTGAATGATCGAACGATGCAATGGGTTGTTGAGTTACTGTCAGGGTCAAGCAAGGGGTGTGGCACACGATCGCTGGTTACGACCCCTCCCCCCCCCCTGATTGCTGTCTTAATAGGACCCCCCCCCTGGACTACACCCTCAAGATAGCATTACTTGGAGGCCCTGTCAAACATAATGGGCAACATATCCATAATGAGCATGTCAATTAACCCCTGTAGACAAAGTTTGAGCGAATTCTGAAGATTCAAGATACTAGGCTACCTGAGTGAAATGGTCAAATTTCAACATGATTAACTTTGTTTCAAAGATGAATTAGCTAGCTGTTTTTGCACTAAAGACAAAGCACTACTCCTTCTTTGTCCATCTCAGAAATCCCGCTTCAGAAGACCTCCAAACTATTGAATTAGAAGCCAACCAAAATCTCGTTTTTCCCATTTTTCGCTTTAGATCGCTGTGTTTCACCAAATATTACTCAGAGCTAAGAATACGAATCAGGCTCAAAACATCCCTGTGGAATCTACGAGGTTTAGGCTATTGATTCATATAAATATTGTCCGCTAAAAATGTTTTTTTGATATAGTTAATGGCCTGCGGCACCCCCCCCCTCAAAACCTGCGGCAGCCGCAGGTTTTGAGGGGGGGGGGGTGCCGCAGGCCATTAACTATATCAAAAAAACATTTTTAGCGGACAATATTTATATGAATCAATAGCCTAAACCTCGTAGATTCCACAGGGATGTTTTGAGTTTGATTCGTCTTCTTAGCTCTGAGTAATATTTGGTGAAAGCACAGCGATCTAAAGCGAAAAATGGGAAAAACGAGATTTTGGTTGGCTTCTAATTCAATAGTTTGGAGGTCTTCTGAAGCGGGATTCCTGAGGTGGACAAAGAAGGAGTAGTGCTTTGTATTGAGTGCAAGAAGAGGTAGCTTACTCACCGTTAAGATGAAGTTAATCATGTTTTAAATTACTGCTTTATACAAAGTTGTTTACTGCTCGAAGACCTCAGAGTTCGCTGAAACTTGGAGCATAGGGGTTATTCGACACGCGGATTACGACAATTATGCTTGATTAGAGGTACGGTATGTTACGGTAGGCATACGGTATCTGCAAGTCTGTGTCGTTGAACTTGAATTTTGCAGGATTTTAACAGCGCTTTCATCAAGCCAATTTAGTCACACAGCTTGTACAAGTGCTTTTGACCTTGGGTCGATACGACCCCCCCCCTACCTACCCCCCCCTAACGAACCCCCCCCCCCCTGCGGCGTGCCGCACCCCCCGCTTTACCCTGGTTACTGTTATCGCTATCGAACTAAAAAATGAGTCTTCGCAACATGGATTGCTTTGTAACAACGAGAATTTGGAAATTGACTTTCATGCGAGAAAAAAAGAGCAGAACCTGATATGGTCAGCTGGCGCTGAAGACTGTTTTTAACACCAACACACTAAGTTTTTAACACTTCCAAAATAAGAAAAAAAGAGTTTTGATTACAATTAAGCAAACGAGAGAAATCGAAATGCACACTTTGTGTGCAGAAAACAATAAATCTGACATCAACACGAATGTTTCGCTTGTCGTGAGAAATTCCAGATTTATGATAACTAACGCTTTCGTCAAAAGTAGGATGATTGCTAACCGTGAGAAAACGGAAAGTAATCTGAGAGCAGAGTCAACAGATTGCAATGTAATATGACATTCACTCAGCTGTTATCTGCACTCTTGTGTGATTGTGGGTCTGACTCGCTGTCACATATGTCAACAATGTGAAGAAGTTTACAAAGGTTTTAGTCATTCTCAAATAAAATGTTGAGCCATTGATGATAGTGTGACGACAAATTTTGGGTTTCAACTTTATGCTTTTTCTGTGCCTGTATCCAATCTTCAAACCACGTAAAAGGGTCAGATTCAAGGCGTTTTTTCATTTTTTAGAAGAAAGCTCGGGAGCTTAGATGGGAGGTGAAGAAATCCTGATACGATAATTTTGCAATTCTTAAACTGAATAGTATGAAGATTATGCGAGCAGTGGTGTTGGTCCTATACACTGCTTTGAGAAGAACTCGTGGAATAAAGCTAGCTTCGTTTTTCATCCCAATGCAAAATAGGAAAAGAATTTTGAATTTTGAATTGTGATTAAACACTCTTCTACGAGGCCTGTTCTGAATCTCAATCTCATCGCAGAGCCTTGTGAGAGCAGAATTTGAGCTATTTTTCGATTTTTATGCTTTCAAGCTCAGATTGCTTCCAAATTCTACTACGAGCAAAAATTTGTAGGACAATTTCGATGTTTCA